GACAGGTCGGCCGAATATCGCATTGCACGCCGACTTGGCTTCCACAACCACGAACTCTACCATCTTATGGACTCGGTATTCTCCTTTTTCCAAGGCTACAGGGAGATTCACACATCCCTTCGGGCTAACTGGTTCTCTTGCAAAGCAATAAGCGAGGTGGGGCTCGGCTTAAGTTGGCTCCGCTCCCATCCTAAGGCAACGTAAGTTGAGAATGATAGAATGTTAGTGAAGGCTCCTCCATCGATCAGTATACGTTTAACTATCACATGCTCGATCTGGGCCTCGATGACCAGAGCGTCATTGTGAGGGCTGTGCAAGCCCTTCATGTCCTCGTGTGAGAATGAGATCTGATAAGGGGTGAGCTGYTCGTAGCTTGAGCATACCTCATAGCGGGCTTCTCTCGCCAGCGCTTTATGCTTGTTTCCAGTGTGACCGCCGCTCGGCCCTCCGAAAATCATGTCGATCACKGCGGTCGATTTGCACGCTTCGAGAGGGAATGCGTCCTCTCCCTCTCTATCCTTTCTCCTCTTGAGCTGCCTGCTCCGTTTCCTTCTCCGAAGAGAACTCGGCCTACGTGCTTCTTGAAGTATCCCTTCTGGATGAGGCCCTCAATCTGTCTCTTTAGCTCGTAGCAATCGGAGGTGTCGTGACCATGATCCTTGTGAAAGCGGCCGAACTTTGACCTATTGTGCTTCTCAAGGTCTCGGTGCATGGGATTGGGCTCAGTGAGCAGGTCAAGCTGTGATTCTTGTATGTTGGAGAGGATCTAGGCTACCGGTATGTTCAAGGGGGTAAAGCAGTCATACCTCTCAGGTCAGCCGTGCTTCTAGTCCTGCTTGTGCTGGGAGTCGCGATCATCTGTCGTTGGCGAGGTGGCAACCTCCGGGAGCTATCCCCGCTTCTCCTCTCACCCGCGGAGCTGGTTCTCGGTTGTTCTTCTCTTGACTGAATGAGTTCGCTCGCCTGCATGAACTTCTGAGCTCGCTCTATGTTGGCTTTAATACTGAGCTCGGGCTTCTTAGCGAGTGACCATTTTAGTTGCTCGTGTTAGACCCCTGAAGCAAACACCGAGCAGGCGAACTCCTCGTTACAGGTCACTATGATCTGCGTGGCGAGGAATCTCCTAACGTAGTCCCTCAAGCTTTCGCCCGCCCTCTGCCTTATCGTGAGCAGATATTGAGCTAGGTGTTGAGTCTCATGCTG